GAGTTTTATATAATGTGAAATGTGCTTATCTTAGGGTGGAGCTGTTGTTGTGTTCTTGCCCGGTTGGCCGTCCATCCAGGGTCTGTTATGGGTGCTGAGACAGGAGCCAGAGATCACTGCTATCTTCGACCTCTTACCGTTACACTCACAGATCCCACCGGAGGTAGGGTACATCTGTACAACGTTCGACAACAGTTTTTATTGTCAGGACCAACAAAAAGTATTTCAAAAACCCCCACCTGGACGACGGAAATGCATTTTGTCTACCAACATTGCGGAAACTTCGCTTACTATCGAGGACGCGGTGAGACTATGGGTTCTAGTTTACTCGAGTGTTGGTATTATCTCGATCAGGTTTATATCATCGATACGTGTAAGTGCAAGTTGAAGTACTTCCATTCTGAACGGCAAATGTCCAGTCTGGACGTTTCCTGGGCTGGTAAGCAACAATGGGGTTCTCTGAAGTTGAATGGTCTTTCCTTTCTGTGATAGGCAAATCTAACTGCAAGCAACGTCGTGGACGATGTGGCCGAGTTCGAGATGGGTAAGTGGGGTATATTGTGTGTGCGCTTGTCTTATGCAAATGCATGAAAATTTGACGTCTCGGCTAATACGGCGAATATTCATATAATCTCATTATAATCGGGATGGCCGAAAAAGGGAGAAATAATGATGAACACATAACCGAGAATTGTCAAACTTTCATGCATTTGCATGAAAAAAAGCCCACACAGTAGCCGAAGCGTGGCTCAGAGTTTACTTGAGACTCATAGAAACTAAGACTCGAATTCGGGTAGAAATGTACAGTAACTAATAGACTTTTCGTATTGTCGCTAACACGCGTAGTTGAACATGTGCATATTTCCCACTGTCGCACTGTAGGTTCTGTTTTCGCCTGATAACGAAGGCCCGATACGAGCATTTGCAGGAGCATATTATGCCCGAGATGATGAGATGCGAGATGATGGAACCAGTAGGAGTGGAGCTGAGAAGATCCAATGGTCACGGCTTCGGCTTTAGATATTGGCTATTCTACGACTACGTTTGGGAGATCCTCGATATGTGTTGCATAATTGCATTGATCCGCCGCCACCTCAAGCGGTTGAAGATGCGCTCAAGAAACTGATGACTATGAGAGCTGTTGAGGTGAGGGCGTTTTTTTCAGCTACTTTAGTTGCTTTTTGCCGAATTTTAGAGGCGTGGATCCTCTTTGATGGTATTATGAATGACTGTGATTCGTACAGAATTGGAAAAATATTCACCCGCACCTCCCTACTGTGGCTTTTCTCGAGTCTTCGAGTGACGGATATGTTGACCTTGGATACCTTGTATATTTACAAACTCGTTGGCTCTAGGGTGTTTTGTTTTTCTTCAGGGCAACACTGGGAAGCTATCGGACATCGGAGTGT